CAACAGCAGAATGATGACACAGAGACTGAGGGGAAAGCACACGGCAACACAAGCATCATCCAATGTTACGCACCTACTAACGACAGTGAAGATGAAAGCAAGGACTATTTTTATGAACAGCTACAGAAGGAATTGACAGATATACCTCGTCACGACCTTATCGTTGTAATGAGCGATCTGAATGCTAAAGTAGGAGAGGACAACACCAGCTATGAGAGAACGATGGGACAACATGGTAGCCTACGTGTACAAGAAATGAGAACGGGGAAAGACTAGTTGACTTCTGCGCATTGAACAACTTTGTGATTGGCGGAACCCTCTTCCCACACCGTACAATCCACAAACTGGCCTGGAATTCTCCAAATGGCCGGGACAAGAATCAGATTGACCACCTTATGATAGGAGGAATGTGGAGACGTTCCCTACAGGATGTGAAAGTCAGAAGAGGAGCAGATGTCGGCAGCGATCATCATTTAGTGACGGCAAGAATAAAACTCAAGCTGAAGAAAACATTCAGCAGGGAGGCGACAAAGACACGACTTAATGTTCACAAGCTCAGTGATGGCAATGTGAGATCTGCCTTCCGACTAGAACTAAAGAATCGATTTCAAACTCTCCAAGACCAGGAAGAAACCACCCCTAATACAGATGAAGTCAATACCCAATGGAAGCATCATATTGTTGAGGCCTACACAGAGAGCAGTAAGACATGTCTTGGTGTCAAGAAAAAGAATGCAAGCAAAGAATGGATACAGCAAGGAACTTGGAATACTATTGAAGACCGGAGAGAAATCAAGAAAAGACAGCTTGCAGCTAAGTCGATACGGCTACAAGAGAAGTACGCAGAGGATTACAAGGAAGCTTGCCAGAAAGTTAAAAGACTGGTCAGGAAGGACAAAAGAGAAGCCATGGAAAAGTTGGCAACTGAGGCAGAGGAGGCAGCTGCTAAAGGTGAACAAGGCAACGTATACAAGATCACAAGAATAATATGTGGCAAGTTCCACGGTGGAATGAGTGGACCAATCAAAGACAAGGCTGACAAGCTGTTGACAATCGAGAAGGAACAAGAAGCACGCTGGACAGAACACTTCAGGGAAGTCCTAAACAAACCACAATCTGAGGACACCCCAGACATACAGGAAGCTACCTTGGATCTGGATATCAGCTCTGACCCACCACAGAAACACGAGATTATAAAAGCTGTTAAGAGCCTGAAATCAAGAAAATCTCCAGGAATGGACAACCGGAATGCTGAATTGTTTAAAGTAGACCCTGAACTGACTGCCACCATTCTTCAGCCACTATTCAAAACCATATGGGAGGGAGAGCAGATTCCCGGGGACAGGTGCACTGGAGTCATTTTTAAAGTACCAAAGAAAGGAGCTCTTAGAGACTGCAACAACTGGAGAGGTATCACGTTGCTGTCAGTTCCCAGCAAGACCCTGGCTAAGATTATTATTAACCACATGTCGGATGCCGTGGACAGCTGCTTAAGAAAAGAACAGGCAGGATTCCTCAAAGAAAGAAGATGCACAGATCAGAATATTTGCCCTCTGCAACATGATAGAACAGTTCACGGGATGGCAGAGACAACTTTAGATCAACTTCGTTGATTAAAAAAAAAGCATTCGACAGTGTGCATAGAGAAAGCCTTTGGTACATTCTACGATCTTATAGAATCCCTTGCAAGATAGTAGAGGTCATCAAGGGCTTCTATCAAAACTTCAAGAGCGTTGTTGGAAACAGTACCACTGCTTTTGAGGCAAGGACAGGAGTTAGACAAGTATAATATATAGTTACAGTAAGAACCCGTACCTAGTGAATACGCGTAATCACTGAATATTTCAGTGAAAACGCGTAATCCCTGTTTCACTCGGAGATTTCACGTAATCACTGAAATAATCAGGAATTACGTGAAATCCCTGAAAAATGGCCACAGTAATTACGCGTAATCCCTGATCAGACATGTGTAGTATAATATACTTTTGTAAAATTTTATTCCTTAAATAGTCAGTTCGGTAACAGATACTCTCTCTCTCTCTTTCTCTCTCTCTCTCTCTCTCTCTCTCTCTCTCTCTCTCTCTCTCTCTCTTTCACACACACACACACACACACACACACTCACACACATACACACACACACACACATACACACACACACACTCACAAGCTCCAGAATCTAAAAACTAAGCGTCTAAAATAAAAATAAAAAAGATCAGTCACATACAAAATTTTATTGCTTAAATAGTCAGTTCGGTAAAAGATTCTCTCTCTCTCTCTCTCTCTCTCTCTCTCTCTCTCTCTCTCTCTCTCTCTCTCTCTCTCTCTCTCTTTCTCTCTCTCTCTCTCTCTTTCTCTTTCTCTCTCTTTCTCC